TATATATATTGTAACATTTGTATTAAAACTAAAATTATATTATAATAATTTAAAAATAATTAAAATATTAATTTTGTTTTATTATTTTTAATAATTTCCATTATATACTTCATAAACAAACAGCAACACAAATTATGTTATTTTTTTCATTTTATTTTCTTTTTTTTTTTACAATATAAGAAATTTTTTATAAAATATTTAAAATTTATTCATAGCTTTGTTACAATTTACAAAAATATATAAAAATATTAAAAACACATTTCTATATTCACAAAAATCCTAATATCTATAGGAACATAAAATTTATATATATTTGATTTTTTATATAAATTATTAGAATAATAAAGTTTTATGTATAAATTGTTAGAACAATTTTTAAATTGGATTTTAAATTATAATATTATTTAAATTTCAAAATAATTTATAATTTTTAATATTTAAATAAACCTCTAAATCTCAGTAGATAAATGTCTAATTATAGTGAAAGTCCATATAAATAGATAAGACTTTCATTTATATACTCAGTAATCAACATTTAACTAAATCTTTTAAGTTGAATAATATGAATTGACAAATGTATAATAAATCATAAATTTCTTTTATAAAATTTAAAGTTTTCAATGAAATATATAAAAATTTATAAAAGTTTTTTAAGATTAACATATAAATTTTTAAAAAAATTTATATTAAATTTATATTTATAAAAAATAAAAATTTAAAAAATATAAATATTAATATAATATTTTGATAAGAGTAAAAGATTTAAAAAAAATTATATTATACTGCAAAAAAAGAAAATAAATATATTTTTATAATTGTAAAATTCAGATTTTTAAAACAAGTATCAGAAATATTAAATAGTAAAGTTTTTTATATTATAAAAAAGGAAACTATTATTAAAATAAAACATAAATAAATTAAATACTTTATCAATTTCTAATTTTGTAATTTAACTTCCTACTATTATATTCTATATAAAATAATTTAAAATTATTTAAAAGAATTAAAATAAATTATAAAAGATTAATTTTATATGTATTACATATAAATTCATTTAAAAAAGACTAAAAGAAGAAACGCTAAAATAAAATAAAAAAATATTTTTGCATATTTTGTAATGAAAATAAACTGATAAGTATTAAGTCGCGATCACATTGTGAAACATATGAAACTGATGAATTTAATAAAAAGTAGATAATTGACTTGCACAAATGCATACGTAAAATTTGATAGCTACTCTGTTGCAATTATTTTCTATGAGTCACTTACAAACGAAAAACACAATAAGTAAAACCAACGAAAAATAATAGTATATGTAATTTAACCCATTAAAATGAAGACTTTGTTAATTACATTATCCAATTAGTCGCGAAGCGAGTTTGGACGAATTAAACAGTCTGTTGTTTTGCGATAATGTTACGATTGATAAAACCAAATAAACTCTCTAAATGATAATGTGTAGTCTGTTTTAATGAAGAATGAACAGTGAGAATTGGTAACACGATGACTAAACGCAGCAACTTCACGGTAATCATGAGATTCGCGTAACTTGCGGCGATGAAAAGGAAACAGGTCCGCATCGCGCGAGCCCGTCCGGGTACAGGCTATCAAAAAAATGTTCTTAGAGAACAAATTAAATGAAAAACATACACATATATACACAATGTATTCTTGTACTTAAAACAAAATGAAGCTACGTCAAACTTGCATACTTACAAACTCACCCCAAACTTATCTACGTAACCAACACCTCATAACCTTCGACAAAATAGCATTATTGAAAAATCACAAGAAACCGTTAAAGCGGTGCATAGGGACTGAGAAAGAAAGAAACCGATAAGGACAGACAGAATTCTGTGTACGCGCGCGCAAATTCTCTTTCTCTTTCTCTCTTATGGACACATGTAGATGTTCACATAGATGTTTCTTTCTTTGTTGCGCTTATTAATACTCTATCTTTTTTTCTCTTATTTGCTTATTCGCTTAATTTACGTTTCGTTAGTTCGCTTACCACTATCCCACCCCCTTATTCTATCTCTTTCTCATTCATTTATTCATTTGCAATATTTCTTTCACTCACTCTTACTTTATCTTTCTCTCTTGAACTCGTTCATTCATACTATATCTTTTTCTTTCCCTTTACCTCTCTCTTCAGATAGATAGAGAGGGAGGAAGGGGAAGAGAAGCAAATAAAGGGTGTAAGCGATGCGCCACGATAGTTACAGTTCTGAGTACTTGTCACCGCCCGTGAAACGTCAGCAAGATCTGAAATATCAAGAAGCCAAAGCAATCTACGAACTGAGTAAAACGACAAAAAGAATGCACAGTTTAAAAGAATTGCATATCCTAACAAAAATTTTATCGTTATTCGTGCAATAAAATACACGAGAAAAAACGAATAATATAGACACAGCATTAAGCACATTCTGCGCTTCTCTAGATGACACTATTCATAAACATAATTCTTTCACCCGCGACGGGTTACAAAAAAGAACATTAAAAATGCGTTTCAGCGGTAGCAAGGAAAGGGACACCTGGCAAGATTGAAAACTCAAATTTTCAATGCTTAACCTGCTACGTAAGGAAGCTCGCCGTCGAATAAGAATGCGGCACTAGCTCTTTAGACGGTCGATGAGCGCACAACACCGCGCGACGATGATTAATGTCAATTCACTGCCGCGCGTCAAATACGATCACTTGTCTTCAGTAAATCGGCCCACTAACCGAGCATAGATCGTGCAATCTATATAGAATGTGTACATTTATGACAGCTCCGGTTGGTACACACAGGCAGATACACGACTCTACGAAGCTTGTTGATTTTTTCACATTCCCTTTTTTTCTGTTTGAAGAATATATTTTTACCACTTTTCATAAAATAATAACTGTTCCAAATGACACTTTTTTTTGATAAAATGAATAGTATCAATGTTTTTGTAACCTAATATAACTAAATTTTAAATTAAAGTTGATCGCACTAAAAAGAATTAAGATTTAGATCCGAATCACGCACACGGTACACACAGTACTGCGACACTTTCTTTTACAACGTCAAATCCAACAGTCACGATCACGCAAAACTTTACCACTGATCAATCAATGAGTCAGTCAATTACCAGCTATCGTACGTGAAATTAAGAAGAAATGTTGAACAGATTTCAATCTCAGAAGATCCTTTGAGAGTACCTTTCTTCAATGTCGTTTTCTTTTTCCTCGAATCGGAAATGGCGCATTTCAATGAACACTACAAGAGAACGGCGCCACTGCTGACCAATAATATTATTTTGATTTTATAATACATTCCTCTATATATAGTTAAAAAAAGCACTTATTTATAATTTTAATAACATGATAATTCTTTGTTTTATAACAATAAATCTTAATAAAATAATATGTATATTATTTTAAATTTTTATTTCAAATTTTTTGCATTATAATATTTAAAATATTTAATTATTAAAAATTAAATATCATTTATCAAATTATTGAATATTCAATACAGAACATTTAAAATTTTATAAAAAATTCATTAGAATTTATACTTTTCAATTTGATGTTATATTTAAGATTGTTTGGTTAAATTAAACAAATTATCATAAAAATTTATTATAGATCTAGTAGATTTCTATGTATCTAGCAAATTTTTATGTCTAATTTATTATTTCTATTTTTTACAATCATGCACAATATTTATTTGTACAAGTTTTTTTATAAATAATTATTAAATATAAAATAAATTTTAATTATATAAATTTTAAATAATAAAATTTAATTATAATATTAATTAATTTTTAAATAAAAAACATAAGTATAGGAATTTTATATATAACTATTAGCTACTCTGATTAACTCTGATATAATTGGTTAATTTTAAATATAAAGTTTAGAAATGGCCGCCAAATACTGGTTTTCCGTGAAATGCTATTTCTTATTTATAACTTTGTGAATGTGTTTATATGTGTCAAAAAAACGTGTATGCTTAATATTTTTGGGATGTACAAATAAGAATTATTTATATTGCATATGCATACATATATACATTATTTTATTTTATAAAATATTTCATTGATAAGATAATACTCTAAAATTATATTTGTAATTTACATATAAAAATTTACTTTTTTTGTCAATTTTAATGTTAATTAGATTTATATTAAAATTCAAAATTATATAATTATTAAATTAAATTAAATACAATGGACAAGTATCAACATATAAGAACATTTATATCGGCAGTTTTGGAATATACTAAACATCCTAGTGAAACAACTGCTTCAATTTTACAAAGAAATCTTGGTGTAAGTAATTATTATATATTATTATTTTAAATTTTAAAAATTCTATTTTTCATATTTGTAATCTGTATGAAATTTAAAAATAAATTTTAAAAAAACTTAAAATAGTTAATTTTAAATAAATAATTTTGATGAAATATTTTAATATGTTTAATATTATATAAAATGTTGGAACAAAAAGATTTAGTTAATGTAAAATATTTTTTTACAAAATTTATTTGAAAGGTAATAAGTACATCATTAGATTTGAGTATCTTTGATCCTGGAACCAGCATAGCAGCAGAATTCTATGTTAGTTTGCATGAGCTTATGAATTCTTTAGCATCTAGAACTACTTTAATTTGGAGTACTGTTGATGTTTTACAAAATGCTTGTCGCAATGCTGCAGCAAGACAAGCTCTTATTCACACATATAAATTTGCACCTATATTGGCAAGATTATTAGAGGTATATATTTATATTTATATATTGATATTATATTTATATATATGATAAATGAAATATAATATAATAATATAACATAGAAAATATAGAAATATTTATTTTATTTTATTTTATTTATTT